CTCATCTGGAAAACTGTATGATAGATGATATTGATTAGTTGGATGCCAATCGTGAATGCTTGAAAGGCAGCATACAACATGATACCGAGCTAACACCCAAGAGTTGTTGATCCATTACCGTTCTGGTACCAAGAGATTTCTCAATCTCTGTTTGATCAGAGGACCAGGATGTTGTAATCAACGACATTAAATGAAGCTTGGCTCGGTTTTTTTTGGCGCGATAATTTGGTTTATGAAGAAATGCCAGCAAGACATTAAGACATCCCCATCCCCTTCAGCTTTAATCAGCAGAATGGTAAAGCTTGCTAACATGCTAATCCCAGAGGCTAACCAAGGTAAACAACAGACCTGTCAATCATCAAAATGTAGACGGGCCATTTGTGTAAAAAATTACCTCAAAACAGTGCTCTACAACATTTCTGTCCTTATCAAAAACTGAAACAAATAAACATTCATAATTAGATGTATGTGTATTCAGGTTGGCATGGTAACACAGATAAAACTAATGCACTAAAGTACTGCAATAGATTAGATACGTTTCTTTGATGCTGGTCTTCTTTGGTTTTGGTCGATGTGTGAAGGTGCAGTTTGTTTTGTTTGTTCTATGAAGAACCATGTGTGTTTTGGAAATGTCAGTGGTCTGAGACTTGTTGATCCAGTTTACCTTTTAATGCTTCGATGTCATATGATGTGTTCCTGGAAAAAACGCACCTCAGCCGAAAGTAACCCAACAAGTATGTTTAGTAAAGGAAGGTATGTGTATCTACTTCCATTACACAATTCAAACAAATGTATTATTTATCAACTTCTACTCACAGGGCTGAAGGGACTAAAACTCTTCATAGTCATTAGTGACAGCTCGTCATGCCTTGTTTCCCGTAATGCCTTGTGTGAGACCGATTGCCAAACCAGTTTATTTTGTTGTTCATAGTTTACACAACTAAATGCTTTTTATATTAGTGTATTTTTTATGTCAGAATTTTAGAGGCTGTCGGTTTTACGCAAATAAATGTCAAATTGTTTAAATCTGTACTTTTCACACTACAACTGAAGGGGACCAGTACTTTTCATACAGCTGTCCCTCTCAATTAGGGTAAATCATTAGTCATGACAACATGGTAGACACACACAAGAAAGATAACAAAACCGATTGTAAAATATTATGAAATAATGTCCGAGAAAAGTTGTGACATGACTTACTAATCATCTAAATAAGTGGTTCTCAAACTTTTTAGACTGTGTACCACCTCCGAAAATATTTGGCTCTCCAAGTACCACCATTATGGTAGACGTTAAAATACACTGTAGGCCTATTTCAACACACATTTCATGCAAGAGGCAAATTAATTCATAAAAAGAATATTATTTATTATTGACTGCTGGCAGCCACACTGTAGGCCTACTAAGGGCTAGCGCTAGAACTTGCACACACAAAAGTGCAGAACAATAAAAATGACAACTTTATACCAACAACCTGTTTGGAAATATTTAGTCTCCAGTGTTTCCCACACAAACACGATACCTGGGCCCAAGTATATTTCCGACCTGTTCTCATTTATTTTTTTATTTTCCGCTTTATTATAAGTCTCTGCGTTCAACATAGCAAAACTGCCTTTTTTTTAAAAAATCCCTCTTGACTCCTACGGAGTGTTAAGACATCAAAAGAGAGCAGAATCACATCAGCTTCAGAGCTACAGAGAGAGAGATGGGGGGGGAGCGATAAGGTCTGCTGTCCGTACATGTATCAAAGCTGAAGCTTCTCCTGGCTCCGTTTTAAAAATGTTAATGTACAGCTGCTTGCTGCCGATTGTGTGCTGAACTCCAGTAAATAACAGAATATCTGTTAATGTAGGCCTACATTAACAGAATATCTGCTGCATTTACAGAATATCTGCTGCTTGCTGTTGTTTCAGTACTGAGCTATAACGGAATATCAAGTGGAACTTTTCAAAACGCGAGGCGTACTCCTGCTGTTGTTTAGTTCTGTGCGCGAGCATAAATTGAGCAGATTAAAGTTGTTTGCTGCAAAAGCTAGATTAATTTAGAGGGGAAAACAGATTTGATATAAATACAACCCAATAGATACAAGCTATATAAGAGTACGACAAAATTTTTTTGCTGAACGGGTTTGTTTTTTATATTGAGGAGATTTCTTTGCGTACCACCACAGGGAGCCCACGTACCACCGGTGGTACGCGTACCATAGTTTGAGAACCACTGACTTAAATTGTTGAGTCATGGTAAATCATTATCATTGGGATTTTTTTTTTCTGCTTGGTTGAGGTCTTCTTGCTGCCCACCTGCAGTACCCACACGGCCCAACAGGGGGTCGCGGCCCACATTTTGGGAAACACTGAACTATGGAATCAAGGTTGATTTTAAGTTTAAATTGTTTTAACTGAACAACAGAACTTCAATGTTAGTGATAAGCTAATTGATAATTACTCATGCCCATAAACCTGTAACATTACTGTGGCAGATAGTTGGTTTCACAAGTCCTATAATTAGTCAGATGACCTGGTTGCATTTACTGTAATCGACCGTAGCATATAATAATTAAGTGAAGGCGAGGGTTTAACTGTTTGTGTGTCAGTATCTACTCAGTATGACTCGCAAGATTTCATATTATAGCCATTTACATATGTAGGTGTTTTTTCTAATTCGTTCTTTGAAGGCCACAGGCTCACCAGTTGATAGAAGCATGCAGTCAACACCTTGTTTACAGTGGCAGTCATTTTGAGCAATTGTGCAACTAATTCGCAAATTAAAAAATGAAAACAGCATATTTGCTATAAATACAAATCAAATATCGAAACTTGGCCAGCCATGAGACGATATAATATCGGCACACAAAATATCACGATGCTATGCTTTATCGATTTTTTTCCCCCACCTCCACTAATTACTTTCAGTTTTGATTAAAGAAGGGGGAGATGTTAATTTATATATTACCCTTTGGTTGCTTCAGAAAAAATAAACATGTTTTAATTGTCTCATGTTTTCTTCTTGTTAGTAGAAATTAAATGAAATGACCTACGACCTCCAGGAGGGGACACCCGTTTTTTTAAAGGTGTCTCCTTAATCAGAGCGTGTGAGCCTCAAAGATGAGCAAAAATATACTAAAGATCCCTCAAAGGTCTTATAGATTTGAAGACGTGAACAGGAAGTTGAACAGACATTGAACAGACTTAAGTGCAGAGATGCAGGAATGTGACCAGGTGACACTGATACTTTATTAATGAAACCAAGTGCTCCTCCCTTTTCTTAAGAAACAGGAAAGTCTTGTTCAAAAGAATAAACAAAAAAAAAACTTGACTGAACCCTTTTTGTTCTTGATGCTTAAAGAGTCATGGAAAAAAAAAACAGATTCTGACTTTGAGTAAAGGTTAAATGTCATGAATGAACACATTGAGGTGAACTGCATTGTTTTAAAAAAACAACTCGGGGACAGGGAAGCTAAATGTATTTAAAGCGAGATTATGTAACAGTTTAACCTTGAAATAACAGTTTAATATTTATTAATGATGGTGATTTCACATTCTAAGGGCCGGTGTGCATTAGTCACACACCCACCCTGCAGCAACGGTTGTAAACATGAAACATAATGATAAGGACATTATCAATCTTAATGCTGAGGGTCTCGTTTGCTTTTGTAGGTCGTAAAGAGGCATTGTGATTCATTTCAGTCTTCATAACCAGATCAAATCTACTCAGAGGAGATTCAACTTTTTCTGGCTACAACTGATTAATCCTACCTTTTAATGTGAGTGAAGATTGGCGAGTTTATTTGTTAGCACAGCTGAATCATTAACCCTGCTGTAGCTCATAAACATACAACGTACGGGAAGGCGTATCATGCAATTTCAACGTGGTTCTTTGTCTTCTGACTTGGACTTTCCAGTTACAAGTCCCTTGGATTGTAATCAAATACAAGTTTAAAGCTGCCATGACTGTAAAACAAAACAAGTTTATTCAGTTTCATGTAGTATCAAGTGAAAGTACAGCAGCATTCTCGGTTTTGTGTAGTTAAAGCTGCACCTTAAAATTAAATGCCATTATTTGTAAATCTTCATCCTACATAAGATACTGAACCACTTATTTTTCCTGGGAGCTCCTGAGCTCTCTTGTCTCATAGGTTTCCTCGGATTGGTGGGTTCCTCCGATTGTTGGGGACGGCCGGCTGCTATGGACTGCCACCCCCCCTGTCTGTTTCGCCCCAATCCTTCTTCCTGCATCTCCCCCATCCCGTCTTTAAAGCCCTGCACACTTTAGGCAGATGGCTGTTCATCATGAGTCTGGGTTTGCTCAAGATTTCTGCCTGTTAGAGGAAGAATGTGCAACTTTTTACACATAAATTCAGCAGAAATCAAGTATCTCCTCTGTAAATGTCTCTGAGTCATGACTGTCTACAATGAGTGAGAAGCACGAGTCCTGCCAGGTGTATTGTTGTTGGAGCTATGTTTACATCATGTTACATGGACGGGACGGCCTTGAGTTTAAAGCTGTTTTAGTCAAGGACTAAGAAAAAAAGAATAATAACACACTCCCTGCTCATGTGGATGTTACGTAAGTGTCTTTAGAGCACGATCATTCCGTGTCTATTTATGTGAATATGAAGCTATGAGTTAACCAAAGTGGGTCTTTGTAATAAAGCAATGAGTAAGGTCTTGAGATTACATTTGTTGTGAATTGATGCTATACAAATAAAGATTGACTGATAGATTGTTTGACTTGAAACACAGTAGAAAAAACTACTACATGATTGAAAACACACTTGGGAAGTCAATGAAGGTTCATGAGCCAAGAAAGGTTTGGAGCCACTGAAGTGAAGTCTATTTCACAATAACTGTAAATAATTGCATATCTAAGAGAGGGAGGCTTGTGTTGTAAAGGTGATAAGTGGAGAATTATTGGGTGTGTCATTGGACAGGTGACGGCACCTGTCAGTGGAGCAGAGAGAGGTGTGTTTGTGTTGGAGGCAGAGAGAGGGAGGGGAGAAGAAGCTTATTTATGCCAGAGCAGACTCCGATATTATGGACTTCCAGTTATGGCTCTCCACAAAGTGATCTGTGCGGCAACCCTGCTGACTTTCTTCAATCAAGGTAAAAGTCTTCTGAACTCTTGTGTTGTACGTTAGAGCGAATGTTTAAAAAAAGAACAACCGTGCAAAGTAAGCTTTATTCAAAGTAGTTGGACACACACGGAAAAAAAAAGTGAGAACCCTTTAATTCTGAAAATACTCTAACCTTAAAACCGTTCTAACTTAAATGTGCCCTGACAGAACTGAGGCCTTCATTTGTCCTGTTTTACAACAAACAAACAAATGATTGCCCTACCTACAACTCTCCATTTGTGGTTTTTAATTATCAGCTGAGCAGCCTCTGAGTGGATGTCGTCCCGTCACTCACTCTGTGCATTGATTATATTCAGCCTTAACACCATAAATCACAGCATCTTCAAATATGTCCTCAACCTTTAGACCTTTAGTGCCTTGAATTTCCCCCCGGGGACAAATAAAGTTTTTTTGAATTGAATTGAATTGAATTGAAACAACTGATGCGGCTTCATAAAAGCGTCGTGTTTATTTGGGTTTGATTCCAGATTTAATTCAATCACTGAGCAACCTTAAAGGAGCAGTTTTCATTATTTAACACTTTTATGAAAACGTGTATTTAATGATAGTAGCAGTAACCTGAACATAATGTTTCCTCTCTGATTGTTCTCTGTATTTAATATTTGAAGATATTAATGTGACTTGCAATGTAATTCTGGAAAAACGCTTAAAATGTGATTATTTAGTGTGTTAATGAATATTTGTGGAGTGAGATGAAATATTTAAATGACCATTAAGAACGTGTAGACGGATTCATAGACATTTTTAAACCCTTCCATTGAGTCAGATTGAGCCCAGAGTGAGGGGAGAGTTTCTTGTCTGAGTTTCCATGTTGGACAGTCTTGGTGGTATTCTGAACTGAATACACAAACTTTACTCAAAGAGAAAATGGATCTCTGGACACTGTTTGGGAGCTAAAAAGCTACCAGGAGAGTTACGGATTCACTGATTTGGGCCCCACCATAACTTCTCACGTAGAAGTTTATCTTCAAACAGTGTTACAGGGACCACATTTTCCTATATAAAGGACAGTCTTTATATAGAGTTATGGACATATACCACAGAATCTGTAAATTTCCACATTTCTCTACCAAAACTCCATAGTGCACCTTTAAGGTCAATGATAAAATATTGCTGCAGCTTTCTTACTTTTTTAACTCCTTTAGCTTCATTCAAGGAGGTTTGAAAGTCTTTAATTGATTCTAAAGAATATGATGTATAATGAGACCAACCTGGTGCTACAACCTGTGGACCATTGATTTTAAAATGTTTCAATTATGTTACCTAATCTGAGCTTTAAGTGATTCTCTTGCGATTTTTACATATCATAAAATGAAATGAATACTTGGGTATTAACCAGGCTTTCTTTACGAGATTAGAGCCACTTTTAAAAATGCGTCGGCACAAATTTCAGTCTCCACTCTTCAGAGGATCGGTGCTTGGTGGATTGGCAAGTAAAGGTGGAGCCACACCTCATCGTGAAGCCGATTGTGAAGCGTTAGCTGAGGAATAGATGGAACTTGAACATTTTAGTCATCGAGTAGCAGCAGGACCGTCATCCACATCACAGAAAAACCCTCGAGTCCACATAACAACTCCTACAGGACGACGTTAATCTGACCAGAAATCAATCTTTAAGTCTTATAAAAATGATTTAACCCCAAAGAAACCGTAGGGCAAGATACACACAGAAGGTATATATTCGCTTTCCTTTTTCATATAATGTAGGAACAGCAGAGTGACCAGAGGCTCTAAGGGTCGACATGTTAGAGGAGGGGTTCAAGATTCATTTGATTACTCTGTATAAAAAATGTAAACAACTGGATTTTAAAAGGAAAAAATAACATTTACCAAAATACAAGAGGCAAAAACTAGATCCTGTAAACAACCTCAACAATGAACTTAAACTGAAAAAGTGCAAAAATCCTGCCAGACCTGACTGTAAAACCTGTCAGATGAGATGTGCCCACACTAAGGCACGCTGCCACACAACAGTGAGATCCATTAAAACAACAGGAGTGTGAAAAATGCTAATAAAAATAAATTAAATAAAAACACACAGACAATGACACCACCGCACAAATAACAGCATTTATGTTGTTTGTCAATGCAGGAAGTTCTGTCATTGTTGTTATTATTTTTTAATTTTTCTGCTCCTTTGCGTAAGATTTTGAAACGTCAGGGTTTAATGACATGTGTCAATGTTCTGAGACCCTTTTTGTTCAGTCGCCTGCATGCTGAATGATTTCACCTGTATGTGTTAATTGTTCAACTTTACGCAACCAAACTCAGGTTGAGGACAGAGGGTCACACTTAGGGTGAGGCTGTACTGACACTCCCCTCTGTTTGGTTTTACACACCATCAAGTTTAAAGAAGAATGCAATGCCACTTAAAACAAATGTGACATTTCAAATCCCCATTTACTCAATGCTTCTATACTCCTAGTACCATGTACTGTATGTCAGACAGTTGTGTTTTTTAAAGACAGTTAATAATGACATATGTGGGTCTATGTGGAAACTGGACCAAGGAGAAAGGCCTGCACACTTACTCAATGCCACAAAAATGTTGAAGTCATCACACCGTTTCAACGAGAGGTCAAAACTCTCAGCAGAAGTCGATCTCTCCATAAAATGTTTTGATAACGACTGAATGAAATGCATCATCACCGTGGCGATTTCATGATCGTGATGATTTCTGAGTGAATGAAAGAGTCGGAGAAGTCTTGGAGAGAGCTGGAAAAAAATATTTCCCCCTGTGTGTCAGCTGGGGGAGGAGGGGGGTTCAAAGTGTGCCCCCTCTTTAAAACCCCTTCCATGTATGTTTAGCCGTATATGAGTTCAGGAGATTTCTGAATTGTTGAATGAAGATGTTTGGTCTTCTTTTTTTCAGAGTGTCTCGGACAGCTTGATGGTGAGTCCTGGTTATTTTTCTTTCACTCATTTGTGGCAGTATAAATGTTGTTTTTGCTTTTTTTAAGACTTTCATTATGGTTACCGTAAAAACAGCGTGTCATTAAAAGCAACAGAATGTTTAGACTCGTTGTGAAATAAAAAATCATTTTTAATGATGTTTGATCAGCCACACCTTGAAATATCCCGGCACACTCCGGATCTTAATCCTAAACCCAGAGATGCAATGCTTCAGGGAGGGGAGAGGATTACTTACCTTGTGCGTTTGTTTTCTATCCATTTTTAGTGTGTGGGAAACCGCCACTCAACAACAGGATTGTTGGAGGACAGGTGGCTCCTCAAGGCAGCTGGCCATGGCAGGTCAGTCTGCACCGATCTGGGTTTCACTTCTGTGGAGGGTCCCTCATTAACAACCAGTGGGTGATGTCTGCTGCTCACTGCTTCCAACGGTAAGAGTCAGAAATAGTCAAATGTGGAGTCCCTCATGAAGCCTTAAACTCTTTTTCAATGGAAGAATAACTTTTCAATCAGTAAAGATTTGTTTCAAGCACCCAATATTTGATTTCAAGGTGTCATCTGACAAAAATGGTATCACAGAGCCAAGAGCTACCTTTAGCTCTATGTTAGAGTGACCATATTTTCAAACCTCAATTCGACACACTTTAATTTGACCACAAACCCCAAAGTATCGATCCACCAATCGGTGACCTGCACTGGTCACTCAAGGTGCACAAATGCTTCCTCCTGAGCAGTTTGTTTAAGTTGGTTGTCACTGTGGTGTTAAACTCACTATAGTTGTTCTTAACAGTTCTCCTTTCAGCCTGTGCCCACTGTTTGCTCGTTTTAATATAGCTTTGTATGTCGACATTTCCACCGTGGGCAACTAAAAATGGACGCCTGCTGTGTGTGCAAAACGCAGCATATTCATATTCATTCCAATATTCTACATGGACCAAACACTATGAGTGAGCGTTTAGCAACATTTGGCAACAGGGGCAAGAAAAAAAACCAGAAACTTTTAGCAGAACCAAACTCATGGCGAACAGCCATCTGCCTTTTGGGAAACAAACACGACTTGACAGTTTTCTTGTCCAGACTGTTGATTATGCCTGATCACTGCTTTCTTCTCTTGTGGTCACTTTAGCACTGCTGCCAGCAGTCTGCTGGTGTATCTGGGCCGACAGAGTCAGGAGGGAACCAACTCCAACGAAGTGTCCAGGTCGGTAATGGAAATCATTGTCCACCCTGACTACAACGCTACTACTAGTGACAACGACATCGCACTCCTGAAACTGTCCTCAACTGTGACTTTCACCAACTTCATCCTGCCCGTGTGCCTGGCGGCCCCGGGCAGCACCTTCTTCAGCGGCATCGACGCCTGGGTTACCGGCTGGGGCACCATTGGAAGTGGAGGTGCGTCTGAAATCAACCTGATTACTTTTTCTTTTTTTCCAGAAAAGTTATAGTAATAATGATAACTTTATTTATAATGCATCCTTCAAACACAGAATTACAAGGTGCCTCACATGTACACTACATAATACAAGAGATAACAAAACATAGAGAAAGAAAGTTATACTTAGATATTAAGATAATCACAATAAATATAAGAGAAGGCCCTATGATAATTCTGCCAGAGGATCTCAAACAGTAAAGTGGTGCCCAATCATGTAAGGCTTTAAAAACTAGCAATACTTCTAACAATCAATTCTAAAACTAACTGGTAACCAGCAGAGTTCAGAAGAAGTTGGAGTTATGTGCTCAGTTCATTTGGAACCAGTTGAAAACGGAGCACTACCATTGGTCAAAACTTGTACAAGCTAGGTTTAAAATCAAAAATGTTCGTTTACGGGGAAATATTCAAAAGTTCCAATTTGTGGAAAACAGTTTTGAGGCAACATCTTTGAACATACATTGTTTTTCTACAGTGCCCCTTCCTTCCCCACAAAACCTTATGGAGGTGGAGGTGCCAATAGTGGGCAACAGAAGATGTAACTGTAACTATGGAGTGGGTAGTATCACAGACAACATGATCTGCGCCGGGTTAGAGGCTGGAGGAAGGGACTCCTGTCAGGTGAGCATTTTGAACATCGTTATTTGGGACAGATTCTGACAACCTGTGACTACCAAGATGAAGTTCTCTTGAACGCTCCTTTTTTTTTTTCTCAAAGGGGGATTCAGGAGGTCCGCTGGTGAGCAAGCAGAACGGCGTCTGGATCTTAGAGGGGGTTGTAAGTTTTGGAGCTGGATGTGCTCTGCCTAATTTTCCAGGAGTATACACCCGAGTGTCCCAGTACCAGTTGTGGATCAACAGTCACATCAACAGCAACCAGCCGGGCTACATCGTCTTCACATCCACTGGGACTAACAGTGACCTGAGTGTCACCTGTCCTGGCCTGCCACCAGCACCAACCACTATCCCTCCCGTAGCCCGTGAGTGCCTGACATGTCCAGAATTAGTACCTGCTGATTTTTTTAGCCTTAATTTGACACAGTCAGTATGAGCTGTTGATACACCACCAACTTGTTTGAGATCATGTCGCTGAACGTTCACACTGAGGGAGAAATTCAAACCAAGGACTCCATGTATTTCATGGCTGCACCATTCTAAAAGGATAATCTTTACTTATGGATCTTTTTTTGCTTTCTCTCCAGCTGTGGTTTGTGGTCAAGCTTCATTGAATTCTCGTATAATGGGAGGTAGCTCAGTCACACAGGCTGGTGTGTGGCCGTGGATGGCGAGCCTGCAGAAGAATGGAAGCCATGTGTGTGGTGGGACTTTGGTTGCCTTGGATTTTGTGTTGAGCAACGCCAACTGCTTCTCAAGGTGAGACACCTGAAGTGATGTCAGTATTCTGTTTTAAGTTTGAGCCAATGAAAAGGGACTTTCATTATTATTGAAACGGTGCTCCATCTTTAGCTATTTTGGGATCTACATTACTAGTAGGTTCGAAAAGTTTCTATAGTCGATTCAGAAAATTCAGAACGGGTTGATGGTGTTCATGTCACATGACCAGTAACTAACTGCCGTAATCATTGAGCATGTTAAAGCAGCGTCATACTCTTTACTGCTCCAGCACACGTTTTCCACTCTTTCATTGATAGTGTGGATATGTCCAATAATAATGATTGTGTAGTGTCAGACTCTGCTTGGCCCGCCCTCTTGGATGTCTTGTGAGCAATATGACCGTGGCGTCCTTTTTTATGTCACATCCTTCCTCCTTAGACTCGCCCTGTCTTTGAGAAGAGTCTAAAAAGGTGAATCAAAGTGTTCTCTTTACCTCCAACAGTTCCCCCACGCCATCTGAATGGACGGTCGTTTTGGGTCGTTTGAGACAGAATGGAGCCAACTCTTTTGAGGTGACACTGAATGTGACAAATATCACCCTGAGCAACCTCAGTGGGTCAAATGTAGCAGTGCTGCAACTGTCAACCAAACCCACCCTGTCAGTCTATATCCAGCCCATCTGTCTGGACAACGGACAGACCTTCTCAGAGGGCTCAACCTGCTGGGCTGCCGGCTGGAGCTCTGGCCGTGGTGGGGGTGAGTCCCACTTCACCTCTTTAGATAAAATGTTTACACATGGACATTCTTACAGAGTTTGTATGCCCATTTGAGGTAGTTTACTGGAAGTGACACTACTAATAATCCTTTTATTTTCCCCCATTGTCAGAGGAACAAGTTCTGCAGGAATTACAGACCTCAATCGTGAATTGTGGAAACGTCATCAAGTGACACGATTTGTACAGCATCACTCACACTGGAGCAGGTGAGAAACTAAAGTAGTAGATTGTCAAACTTGGCCTTTTGTAGCTAATCTGAAACTTTACAACATAACATGATATAAGTCTGTTTTTTAATCAAATGAATATGATATGATACGGTACGATGTGATGAGATACAGTACACTACAGTGCAGCATGATACAATACTGTTCTGTACGATACAATACTGTATGGTACGGTATGATATGGTACAGTCCAGTAGGTAAGGTTATACAACACATTATGATACTTAACCTGACATACCATACCATACATTATGCTACCATATAATATGATAGAATAGGATACGATACATTTTGTGGCAGTGTTTTTCCTGGGCTTGAATGCCTCACACATTTAACTTAATGCTTTGTGGCAAATACTCCCTTGTTCTGTAAACTTAGGGTTTTTTTTTGTCCTTTATGTTTAGGGGGATTCTGGCGGTCCTCTCATGTGTAAGCTGGATGGGTCCTGGTTCCAGGCGTCCGTGTTATCGTTTGAAAATAACTCAAGCACCCGAGGTCGAGTAGCGAAAGCAGATCTAACGGTCTTTACCAAACTGAGCTCCTTTCAGGCATTCTTGACATCGACGATAGGAACGTTCTTATCTCCAGCTTCCAACGGTGTGGATTGCCCCGCTCACTCGTCCCTCTTCGTCCTTTTGCATCTCCTTGTCTTATCAGTGTATCTCCAACTCTTTGCATAGAAACCTCCCACTTGTAAAAGGGATTTACATGATGTGACTCGCACAGATGAATGTAAGCAAACTTGAATTTGAGAGACATTTGTTAGCATAAAACTGCATGACGTTTTTTTTGTATGTACCTATGTGATTGGTTCAAAGCTAATGTTCGGTTTAATGTTTGCCAAAGGTAAATGGCAGGGGCAAACTGAGGAAGTTAAAACTATATTATTATTTCATTATCTAGAAAAATCTGTGTTTCTGTGTTGAGGGAGATTTAAAGTCATCTTTGAATTACTATAGTTTTAAATATGAATTTCATCTTGACTGTATATCAGAAGTTAGCATGTTTTGAAGCCGGGGGTCTTAGAACGCCATTTTGGTGGTTTTTGGAGAGTGACAATAGGAAAAACAGTTTGAGTCTGAGAGGACTGAGTGGTTAGCAAATGCTAAGCTATCAGGTTAGCTTGGATGGCTTAAAGATGTAAATCACAGAAGATATAAGTGACTAAAATATATTCTGGGTTCATGAGAAATTAGAACAAAATGTATTTGACAATGACATGAACAGCAGACTCTTCAGGGGTTCTTCGTGCAGTAAGAACATTACTGCACTGGTTGTCATGGTGATTACTTAATCATAATTTAGCAATGCCCTAAAAATACCCTGTTCCAAGTTCTTTTTAATCCAAACAGCACCATTATTTAAATGAACATCATGATATGTTGAAGAAGACCTGAAACTCTGATAATGAAACCAGGAGCTCATCAGGAAAATGTTTACTATAGCCGTACATTTATGAAGAATTTTTTTTCTCACATATATTTTGTTTACAAATGGGCTTGGAGTCACTCCCTGCTGGACTTCTGCAAAGGCGTAATTCTGCTTTAAGACTTAAGTTCACTTCTTATATATAGAAGATGGAAAGCACTTCAGGAAAGCACTTCTACTACTTATAGTACTACTTTATTTCTCTATAGCCTGCGAGAAAACGTGATTCATCCTGGTCACTGTTCTCACTGGCTTGACTTTCTTTTGTTTCTAGAGAGGAGATTATCGGTGCTGGCTTCTCTGAGTCTTGAGCATCAGGGGTAAAATGAAGAACTCTTAAAGCTGCACTGAACAAATGTTTTCATACATAGTTAGGCGCTACAGGGATCATAAGAAGATAACATGTGAAATCTATATTTTTTTACTGGTTAATTGTTAAATAGGAAGTGTCTTTCTTCGACAAATGAGTGAAAAGGTTATTTTGAAGGAACACATCATCTACCTCATCGTGACAGAGAGGTGCTGTACTAAAATGTCTATTTCTATCAGAAATGAATCAGCACTTGTGTGAAAACGGTGAAAGTTACTTGAGGTGCACTTTACTTTTTTGAAATCTAAACTTCAGCTACTGATTTTCCATGAAAAACAATTGTAATGTGGATGTGACAGTACTGTACAAATGAATTTAATAAACTGCTTGTATATTATGTGAAAATTCCATTTAGTCGCTTTTTGACGTTTTTACGTTTAAATCTGTAAATTGATTTAAATTACAGCTGCAGGTGGTGCAGTGGTTGGCGCTGTTGCCTCACAGGGATGAGGTTCCTGGTTTGAATACCCATTGGACAGGAGCCTCTCTGTGTGGAGTTTGTATGTTCTCCCCGTGCATGCGTGGGTTCAGGGTGTACCCCGACTCTCGCCCAACGACAGCTGGGATAGGCTCCCAAATTTCCAAATTGTTTCCTGTTTTGAAGGAGAAACTCTCAAGGAGCATGAAGGAGCCTCTGACCCTTTAACAAAGGGGTCATTAGTATCAGGATGTATCGAAAAGTATAATGTTTCTTAAATTAGAAACACTTCAACTACAACTCTTGTTGTGCCCTGACCAGGCAAAGAAATATTCTGTGTGATGATGTTAAAGCATTTCTGTGGCTCAAACAACAGAAAAGCTGTTTGACTGATACATTAGATAATTTAATAACAAGAAGGTATAAAAAAAAAGCTACAGCATTAATAACAAAAAATACAATGTAAACAATACACAAGGAATCCCCTCAAGAGCACCAAATGTGGAATAAGCAGCTGCTGAAAAGAGTCTCAACAAAGGCTCCACAGCTCCTCCTATAGGTTTGAGTAAAAAGCTGCAATGAGCAGCTGTTTTTTTTCTACTGAAACTCTCTAAAACATGAAACTATTAGAGGAAAATAACTAAAACAAGGCACTCAAAGAGATAAAAAAAAACAGGTGTTTGATCACACAGGTGTACATCCTGCTAATGCAGCGCTGAACTGTACAGTATTTTGGCAAAGTACAAAGATAGAAAAGGCCTGTCATATTTAAATATGTAGTGTTTCTATTTATCATTCTAAGTTTTCGCTTTTTGTGACAATTAATAAAATGTGAATTCAGAGTAAATTCCTGATGAAAAACTGAGTTCTTAGCGTCATACTGTAAGGCAATATTTCTGTCCACAGTCAGAGATCGTGCCATTCCATTTAAACTGCATCAAGTATCAAGAAAATAATGCTTTTATCTCTCATCCAGAGTCCTGAACGACCCTGACTGCAGAGCCAGAGAAAACTGCTTTTGAGATTTCCTCATTTTGAGATAGTGAAGTAATGAAAAAGGACACTGTCTTACATGCTCTTCTTAAAGGTATTGAGGTATCAACACATGTTTACTTGTGTTCTGAAATATAATATTCACAGATGGACTTTGATTTATCAGGTGTTTGGTTGAATAGATCCATTTTCCCTTTGTCAAACAAAACTCAGTTAACTTTTCAGAAATCTCGTCCTATCACAGGAAAGATTGAACCATTCAGCACAGTAGGCATGTTTCACATTTTCAATCAGCTACTCCAACTGAATATTTACTGAATACTAGTTTGTGTCGAAAAACAAAAAGTAAACAAGAACACATATCCCAGCTAGTAGTGGTTTTGACACAGCCTGCAAAGTGCTATTCCATCAAACGGCAGCCACAGACTCATTTTGAGTCTTCTTTACATGTGACAGTCTAACAGGAGCGTTCATGTCGGTCCCTCAATAAGAATGCAAAGACATGCCGGTTCAAATGCAGCAGAAGATCTCTGCTGAAGGTCATTTTCCATCGTTCCTCACCGAACGCTCGTAATAAAAGGCAAACATTTTGAAAAGTCACTCAGCTGATGATGCCATCAGTGAACCTCCACCGTCGTCATCTACTTGATCGTGATCTCGAAGCAGAGACAGTGGCAGGAGTCGCACTCAGGAGGCCGACAGCTGCAGAGATCACGCTCACAGCTGCAGGGATTGTGCCAACAGTCACACTGTAGGAGAAACAAAAGGACAAGCTCAGATATGAGGCTGGCTGCTTTAATAAGATACACGCTAAACTCTCTGTTCTAGTGCTCAAGTGAAGAATTTTGTTCAGTTTTTCTTCTTTCAGCTGGGAAAAAAAAATCATGTCTGTGAAAACTAGTTCACTGATCTTCACAACTCAAATGGATCTAATGACATGCTTTTGGAGATTTTCAGCATGAATGTCAATCTCTGATGTGATCTGGTGTTTGAGTTACTTACAGAGGGAAAAGGGGGACATTTTTCCCAGCATGTTTTCATGTCGGGCATGTTGCAGTTACACATCTCGGACAGCTTAAAGCACTGCTCACATAAAGAGATGTCTGGACAGCAGTCACAACAGTTGCAAGAACAACGGTCCTGTGGGAGAGGGAACAGTACGATCTCATTCCAAACAGAAATGTAGTCCAATATAATAAGTACGTGTTCACATCCAGTATGAACTCATTCACACTGGGGCCCTTTCTGAATAGTATGCAGTACGTACTTTTCAGTATGGAGTTTCAGAACTTTTGTGGTCATTCAGTATGCATTTTTTGGGTCCACCTCAGTATACTGAACATTTCAGTATGGATATTAACTTCCGGGTTTCATGCAGTATGGATCGGATGCGTCCTTTCAGGAAATGAATTGTATTTTACCACCCACAATGCTGTGCGAAATTAAACGTAAATCATCAGGTCCGCCTCCAAATCAAAACAAACGAGCGTGGATTAATTGAATCAATTTTTAATCTAGAGTTAAAGTCCCGACTGAAATCACTACTTTAAATTAACAACAGAAAATATAACAAATGTCTGCATTATTATAAAACCTTTCCTCCTCTATTTAAATAATGATTTAACTATTTAAAAGTGTCTTTATTGATTTATTCTATTTTATATTCTGTATATTACTGTCTTTCATTTGTACTTTTCTTTATGTACTGTATGTTATTTAGTTATTTAATCTGCCTTTTACTTGATTTGCATTGTGATATTGTTTTTTTTACCTGACTGTATATGAACATTACTCCTCTTGAATAAAGCTAAACAAAAAAAACAAAAAACAGGTGGATGCGGCCGGTTTGCGTAACGTAAATGACGTCACTTCCTTACTGAATGAATCAGAAGAAGTAGGAACAAATATCTGCCTACTGTGCGCGCCTACTGAATAGTAGGTACTAAACAGTATACAGCACGGATAGTAGGTACTGGTACTGACAGACTGAGTAGGTACTATGTAATTCGGACACAGCCAGTCTCTTTTTAACTTGAGAAAGTCAAAATGGTTAAGAAAAGAATATGGGGTATCTCTCCTTATAGATTCAGATATGTTAAGGCCGGAGATTCCTCAAATCAAACACAGAATGTGAAGCAGATGGATCACCTAGAGCTAGAGTAGCACAACAGTCTTTTGAAAGTATTCAATTGTCTTCATAAGTTTTGATGGCTTCATGACAGAACTTCACCGCGCACAACAAATATAAGCTCATATTTCATGTATTAAGTGTAATAATTATGCTTTTGAAACTGTCAGCATAAAAACAAGCTTTACACTTCTGCGTCTTCTTCTTTGTTGTTTAATAGCAGCCTGTTGCAGTGTGAATAAACTAACCTACTGTACAACAACATGGTACTGAGTCATATGGAACACAACACACTTCCTTCCATATAAAAACACAACTTTTTTTTCCACATACCGGTATGTGACGCACTGAAAATATCTCTGTGCCGCACCGTGACCCAGAACACCCTCAGGTGAATCCTGTCACCTGCTCTTTTCACTAAGGCCCTGACACATATTAGCAACATCTGGAATGACCTCAGAATACTTTTCCAGAGTGACAAATATTCAACAACTCAACAGATCAAAATTCAAACAAACCAAAAGTTCGTCACAGCAGTTTTGAATCGGGTTCTCAAGTTATAGAAAAGAAAATGTGTCATGTTGTTTTACAATCTGAAGTGAGGAGAGAGTCCTAAGAGAAGGGTAAAGCTGCACCAACCTTAAGACAGTATCGTATCCAGAGCCCAACGCCCAGGACGATCATATAAAGACTCACAGTGATCATCAGCACGGCCGGGAGAGGGATGGCAAGCCCCCAAACAGGCAACACCTGAAGAACAGGGGTGAAATATGACCAAATAAAGATGAGCTGAGGAGATATCTCATGAATTGAATGCAGATTAATAATTATTCATTATTCCTCCTTACCTGTATTGTCTGTTCCTGAGAGGACATCTTAACATGTCACATCAAGCCTCACATCTTGAGAAATTCTGACAGGAAAAATGAAGCGTAAAAACTTGATTGTGAGGCTGACCAAAACCATCTGTGTTACTACACAACAACAACAAAAATGCAAGTGTGTGTTAAATGAATATGTCACGAGTTTAAATGCAAACTTGTATTTAAGCGTTAAAGACAGGTGCATGAGTTATGGTAAATGGTAAATGGACTTGAGCTTATATAGCGCTTTTCTAGTCTTCCAACTACTCGAAGCGCTTTTACGCCACATGTCACACCCACCCTTTCACACACTGATGGTAGTGATGATCGCTATGTAGTATCATCCATCAGAAGTAACTCAATCAATCAATTTTTATTTGTATAGCGTCAACTCATAACAAGTGTTATCTCGAGACACTTTACAAAAAGCAGGTGAAATACCTTACTCTTTGTCTGTTAACATTACAAAAGAGCAGGTAAAAACACCATACTTATTGCTATGTTACAAAGATCCGGCCAATCCATCATGAGCACTTTTAAGCAAAGCAGCAAAAGTTACAGTGGTAAGAAAAAACTGCCTTATTAAAAGGAAGAAATCTTCGGCCGGATCCCCAGCTCATGACGAAACAGCCTTCACAGGCCTAGACTGCACCGGGTTTGGAAGGGGATAGGGGGAGAGATGGGATAAGATGCTAAAATAACTTATCCCATTCATACACCACCACCAAAGCAGAGGGAGCATTTTGGGGTTAAGCGTCTTGCCCAAGGAGACATCGGACATTTGGCCAGCTGGGGATCAAACCTTCGACCTTCCGGTTGAGAAGCAACGACTCTACCAATTGAGCCACTGCGGCCCCGTTATGGTTGGATCTAAACCAGGGATGGGGCAACTTTGGTCACAGCAAGGGGCCACATTCATTTAATTCTCACTGCCAGAGGGGCCAAA